TTTTTTTTTTTTTTTTTTTTTTTTTTAAATCGTTAAAACATTATTTTATATTATTTATTATTATTACTCATTATTATTATATTGTTTACTACCCATCTTATATGTTACGTCTCTCTTGTATCCCGTTGAAAATACGCTATTTATATTATTATTGTTACTGTTTGCCGTCGATTGTCTAATAAACGCGATCGATTTAAAATTTTTCATCATCCCGTTGCGTGTGTTATTTGTCGTTGTTGTCGTTACGGACAGCCCGCTACCCACATCGTCGGCGGCGCCGCGGTGTTGACGTTTGTTTCGGACCGCATTGGTGGAGCGATAGTGAAATTATCATCTTTTAAACGTCTGATCATTTGATCACGTTGCGCGGGATTTTTCGGAAACAGATCCCGCCCGTAACAACAACAATAATAACAACAACAATAATAATAATAATAATAATAATAATAATAACAACGATAACAACGACGCGAGTCGGATTGGCCGAAAGCGGTCGACAAGGTCAGCCGCACGTCTGCGGTATTTATTATCGTCGTCGTCGTCGTCAGTATTATTGAAGTTCATGTGTTACGGGAGAGGTAGCCGCGAGCCGCGCGTGTGTGTGTGTGTGTGTGTCTGTGTCTGTGCGTGTCTCGTCAGATTGTATAATATCGCCGACCGGCCGACAAAACAATTCAGTGTTTGCCGAGGCCTCGTGGCAGTCGGAAAGTGATTTCTGAGTTCTGGCGTACGGTCGTGTGTGCGCGACCCGCGCGTAGGTTTCGTTCGCATCGGTAATATATTGCCGAACAGGTAGCGAACCTGGAAGGAAACGTTAATATTCCAGTTGGTTTTCCCGGGTGTCGATAATTTTTTTTTTTTTTTTCTCCATCTGTCCGTCTGTCGGTCCGAAGTAATTAAATACGTACGGAAGCAAACGCGCAAGAACCGCCGCATTTAAAAATCTATACGTGTGTATCCCAACGAACAAATAATAATATCGTTGTCGCGCCGAAGACAAAACGATATTACCGAGGTAAGCTTTTTTTTGTTTTTTTGTTTTTTTTTTTCTGTCTAAATACACGGCGAAACACGCCGATACGCGCGAGCGATATTTGCGCCGGTGTACGGGGAAACACTTGCTAGAACCGCAGAACGAACGACGGAAATATCGTTTGAATATCAACGGTTAGAATCCATCGGCCACGTGTGTTTACGAGAAAATAAAAACGAAATCAAGTAAGTGCGTGTAGGCAACTTGTATAAATACGGGGGGGGGCGGGGAACTCCCCCGCCGTTTAAAGTACACCGCGCTTTTCACGGTCCAACTTTGTGCCTCCCGCAAACTACACATGTTATTATAATATGAACGTGTCGATACGATTCGGGAATTCCT